ATAGACATCCACAGACTCATAGACACCCATAGAGACTCATAGACACCCATAGAGACCCACAGAGACTCATAGAGATCCATATACATCCACAGAGACCCACAGAGACCCACACTCATAGACACCCATAGAGACACACAGAGACTCATATACACCCATAGGGACCCACAGAGACCCACACTCATAGACACCCATAGAGACCCACAGACTCATAGACACCCATAGACACCCATAGAGACTCATAGAGACCCACAGACACCCACAGAGACCCACAGAGACCCACAGAGACTCATAGACACCCATAGAGACACACAGAGACTCATAGACACCCATAGACACCCATAGAGACCCACAGAGACCCACAGACTCATAGACACCCATAGAGACCCACAGACTCATAGACACCCATAGAGACACACAGAGACTCATAGACACCCATAGAGACCCACAGAGACACACAGAGACTCATAGACACCCATAGAGACCCATAGAGACCCGCAGACTCATAGACACCCATAGAGACTCATAGACACCCATAGAGACCCAGAGACTCATAGACACCCATAGAGACCCACAGAGACACACAGAGACTCATAGACACCCATAGAGACCCATAGAGACCCGCAGACTCATAGACACCCATAGAGACTCATAGACACCCATAGAGACCCAGAGACTCATAGACACCCATAGACACCCATAGAGACCCACAGAGACTCATAGACACCCATAGAGACCCACAGAGACTCATAGACACCCATAGAGACCCACAGAGACTCATAGACACCCATAGAGACCCACAGAGACTCATAGACACCCATAGAGACCCACAGAGACTCATAGACACCCATAGAGACCCACAGACACCCATAGAGACCCACAGAGACTCATAGACACCCATTGACACCCATAGAGACTCAAAGACACCCACAGAGACCCATACTCATAGACACCCATAGACACCCATAGAGACCCATAGAGACCCACAGAGACTCATAGACACCAACGCACCCTCGCCTGCCGGAGGAGCTCACCGCACGCAAGACAAAGGTCCCCCGTGTAGCCTCTAGCAGGCTGTAGGGGCAAGTGCTGTTAGTAGCGAGTAGCAGCAGCAGCGTCTATGAAGGCTACCGGCACTGTGGCACACACAGAGGGGGTGGGTGATGTTCACTGCTACACACCGCTACAACAGCTACTCATTTGAGGCCGAGTCGACCTAGGGGAGGCCCAGGACCGGTTCAGATAATCGACACAACCGCCAATCGCCACTAAGTGGCGGTGACATCACCACGACGCTTGTGCCAGGCTATGTGCACCTTGAGGTCACGTGAAGTGTCGAACGCCCGCTGGCAGGAGGTCACGGGGCAGACCCAGGTGCCACGGGTCGACTGACTGAGATGACTGAGCTGATGCACCACCTGTGCCCCCTACTGTGCCAACCCGCTGTGCTTTAGCCACCCGGCGCTCCGCTCGTTGTTGTGAGCGTCGCTCCTCCGCCCTCCGTTGTTGGAGGGCGACTGCCTCCAACTGCCCAGTAGCGTCCTTCACACAGTATATTTACACACAAACACACCTGTACAAAACCTACACTACACTACACACTACACTACAATATACACTACACTACTACACACTACACTACTACATACTACACTATACACTACACTATAAACAACACTATAAACAACACTATACACTACACTACTACACACTACACTATACACTACACTATACACTACACTACTATACACTACACTACACACTGGTACTGTATCGGGCATTCTTTTTACACGAAGACTTATGTCAACACACAGACAGACAGACACACACAGCTAGACACACAGACACACACACACACAGACACACATAGACAGACATACACACACAGACACACAGACAGACATAGACACACACACAGCTAGACACACAGACACACACACACAGACACACATAGACAGACACACATAGACAGAAACACACAGATACACACACAGATACACAGACACAAACAGACACACAGACAGACACACAGATGGACACACACACAGACAGATACACACACATACACACAGATAGACACACAGACACACACACAGCTAGACACACAGACATACACACAGACACACACACACAGCTAGACACACAGACAGATACACACACAGACACGAAGCTAGACACACAGACACACACACAGACACAAAGCTAGACACAGAGACAGATACATAGACAGATACACACAGACACACAGACAGATACACAGACAGACATACACACAGACACACAGCCACACACACACAGACACACAGCCACACACACACACAGACACACACAGACACACACACATATAGACACACAGATAGACACACATACACACACAGATAGACACACACACAGACACACACACAGACAGATAGACACACAGCTAGACACACACAGACACACAGCCACACAGCCACACACACACAGACACACAGCCACACACACACACAGACACACACAGACACACACACAGATAGACACACAGACACACACAGATAGACACACACAGACACACAGATAGACACACACACAGACAGATAGACACACAGCTAGACACACACACAGACAGATTCACAGACACACAGACAGACACACAACTAGACACACACACACAGCTAGACACACACACAGACAGGTAGACACACAGCTAAACACACAGATACATACACACACAGACACACACACTGACAGACACACACACACAGACAGATTCACAGACACACAGAGAGACACACACACAGCTAGACACACACACAGCTAAACACACAGACACACACACAGACACAAAGCTAGACACACAGACAAAGGTCCCCCGTATAGGCCACACGCAGACGTGGGGCAAAGTGCTCTTCTGTAGCGAGGGGGGGCGTCCCCGTATGAAGGTCAAAGGAGAGTGAGTGACTGAGTGAGTGAGTGGCTGAGTGGGTGAGTGGGTGAGTGAGTGAGTGGTTGAGTGGGTGAGTGAGTGGGTGAGTGAGTGGGTGAGTGAGTGAGTGGCTGAGTGAGTGAGTGGGTGATTGAGTGGGTGAGTGAGTGGCTGAGTGAGTGAGTGGGTGATTGAGTGGGTGAGTGGGTGATTGAGTGGGTGAGTGAGTGGGTGGGTGGCTGAGTGAGTGAGTGGATGATTGAGTGGGTGAGTGGGTGAGTGAGTGGGGAGTGGGTGAGTGAGTGGGTGAGTGAGTGAGTGGCTGAGTGGGTGAGTGGGTGAGTGAGTGAGTGGGTGAGTGGGTGAGTGAGTGGGTGAGTGAGTGGGTGAGTGAGTGAGTGGCTGAGTGAGTGGCTGAGTGAGTGAGTGGGTGATTGAGTGGGTGAGTGGGTGATTGAGTGGGTGAGTGAGTGGGTGGGTGGCTGAGTGAGTGAGTGGATGATTGAGTGGGTGAGTGGGTGAGTGAGTGGGTGAGTGAGTGGCTGAGTGAGTGAGTGATTGAGTGGGTGAGTGAGTGAGTGGCTGAGTGAGTGGGTGATTGAGTGGGTGAGTGGGTGAGTGAGTGGGTGAGTGATTGAATGGGTGAGTGAGTGGGTGAGTGAGTGGGTGGGTAAGTGAGTGAGTGAGTGGGTGAGTGAGTGAGTGAGTGGATGATTGAGTGAGTGAGTGGGTGAGTAAGTGGGTGAGTGAGTGGGTGCGAGTGAGTGGGTGAGTGAGTGGGTGAGTGAGTGGGTGAGTGAGTGAGTGAGTGGGTGCGTGAGTGAGTGGGTGAGTGGGTGAGTGAGTGGGTGAGTGAGTGGGTGAGTGAGTGGGTGAGTGAGTGGATGAGTGAGTGGGTGAGTGGGTGGGTAACTGAGTGGGTGAGTGAGTGGGTGAGTGTGTGAGTGGGTGAGTGCGTGGCTGAGTGAGTGGGTGAGTGAGTGAGTGGGTGAGTGAGTGAGTGAGTGGCTGAGTGAGTGAGTGGGTGATGGAGTGGGTGAGTGGGTGAGTGAGTGGGTGATTGAGTGGGTGAGTGGGTGAGTGGGTGAGTGAGTGAGTGGGTGGCTGAGTGAGTGAGTGGGTGATTGAGTGGGTGAGTGAGTGGGTGAGTGGGTGAGTGAGTGAGTGAGTGGGTGAGTGAGTGAGTAGCTGAGTGAGTGAGTGGGTGAGTGAGTGAGTGGGTGAGTGGGTGGGTGAGTGAGTGAGTGGGTGAGTGGGTGGGTGAGTGAGTGGGTGAGTGAGTGGGTGAGTGGGTGAGTGAGTGGGTGAGTGGGTGAGTGAGTGGGTGGGTGAGTGGGTGAGTGAGTGAGTGAGTGGGTGAGTGAGTGAGTGAGTGGGTGAGTGAGTGAGTGAGTGGGTGAGTGAGTGAGTGAGTGGCTGAGTGAGTGAGTGAGTGGGTGAGTGAGTGAGTGAGTGGGTGAGTGAGTGAGTGAGTGGGTGAGTGAGTGAGTGAGTGGCTGAGTGAGTGAGTGAGTGGGTGGGTGAGTGAGTGGGTGAGTGAGTGGGTGAGTGAGTGAGTGAGTGGGTGATTGAGTGGGTGAGTGGGTGGGTGAGTGAGTGGCTGAGTGGGTGAGTGAGTGAGTGAGTGGGTGGCTGAGTGAGTGAGTGGGTGATTGAGTGTGTGAGTGAGTGGGTGAGTGGGTGAGTGAGTGGCTGAGTGAGTGAGTGGCTGAGTGGGTGAGTGATTGAGTGGCTGAGTGAGTGAGTGGGTGATTGAGTGGGTGAGTGGGTGATTGAGTGGGTGAGTGGGTGATTGAGTGGGTGAGTGAGTGAGTGGGTGGCTGAGTGAGTGAGTGGGTGATTGAGTGGGTGAGTGGGTGAGTGAGTGCGTGAGTGGGTGAGTGAGTGGCTGAGTGAGTGATTGAGTGGGTGAGTGAGTGGGTGAGTGATTGAATGGGTGAGTGAGTGGGTGAGTGAGTGGGTGGGTAAGTGGGTGAGTGAGTGGGTGAGTGAGTGAGTGAGTGGATGAATGAGTGAGCGGGTGAGTGAGCGGGTGAGTGAGTGGGTGAGTAAGTGGGTGAGTGAGTGGGTGCGAGTGAGTGGGTGAGTCAGTGGCTGAGTGAGAGAGTGGGTGGGTGAGTTAGTGGCTGAGTGAGAGAGTGGGTGAGTGAGTGAGTGGGTGAGTGAATGAGTGGGTGAGTGAGTGCGTGAGTGGGGGGATGAGTGGATAAGTGAGTGAGTGAGTGGGTGAGTGAGTGAGTTGGTGAGTGAGTGAGTGAGTGGGTGAGTGAGTGGGTGAGTGGGTGGCTGAGTGAGTGAGTGGGTGAGATGGGTGCGTGAGTGAGTGGGTGAGTGAGTGGATGAGTGAATGAGTGGGTGAATGAGTGAGTGAGTAGGTGAGTATGTAGGTGAGTGAGTGGGTGAGTGAGTGAGTGGGTGAGTGGGTGGGTGGGTGAGTGAGTGGGTGGGTGGGTGAGTGAGTGAGTGGGTGGGTGGGTAAGTGAGTGGGTGAGTGAGTGAGTGGGTGAGTGAATGGGTGAGTGAGTGAGTGGTTGAGTGAGTGGGTGAGTGGCTGAGTGAGTGGCTGAGTGAGTGAGTGGGTGCGTGAGTGAGTAGGTGAGTGAGTGAGTGAGTGGATGCGTGAGTTGGTGGATTAGTGAGTGAGTGGGTGAGTGACTGAGTGAGTGGATGGGTGAGTAAGTGTGTGAGTGGGTGAGTGAGTGGCTGAGTGAGTGGGTGGCTGGGTGAGTGGGTGGGTGAGTGGGTGAGTGAGTGAGTGAATGAGTGGATGAGTGAGTGGGTGCATGAGTGGGTGGATGATTGAGTGAGTGGGTGAGTCAGTGGATGAGTGAATGAGTAGGTGGATGAGTGAGTGAGTGAGTCGGTGAGTGAGTAAGTAGGTGAGTGAGTGGGTGAGTGAATGGGTGGGTGAGCGAGTGGGTGGGTGAGTTGATGGGTGGGTGAGTGGGTGGGTGAGTGGTTGGGTGAGTGGTTGGGTGAATGGGTGAGTGAGTGGCTGAGTGAATGGGTGAGTGAGTGGGTGAGTGAGTGAGTGGGTGAGTGAGTGGGTGAGTGAGTGAGTGAGTGGCTGAGTGAATGGGTGAGTGAGTGGGTGAGTGAGTGGGTGAGTGGGTGAGTGAATGGGTGAGTGAGTGAGTGAGTGGGTGAGTGGTTGGGTGAGTGGTTGGGTGAATGAGTGAGTGAGTGGGTGAGTGAGTGGCTGAGTGAATGGGTGGGTGAGTGAGTGAGTGGGTGAGTGAGTGGGTGAGTGGGTGAGTGAGTGAGTGGGTGAGTGAGTGAGTGGGTGAGTGGGTGAGTGGGTGAGTGAGTGAGTGGGTGAGTGAGTGGGTGAGTGAGTGGGTGAGTGGGTGAGTGAGTGGGTGAGTGAGTGAGTAGCACCACCACGCCCGGTCTTTATGTCTCTCCCCCAGTGTTAATTGGCGAGGGGGGTGTAGGGCACGCTGTGTACACGCCGGCCATACCTGATGATGCAGACTTCCCGGCTCCGTGATCATTGCAGAGACGTGGTGATGGTCGCGACAATGGTGGCCTTGGTGGTGATCGTGATGTTGGTGGTGATGGTGATGGTATTGTGGTGGTTATGGTGATGTTGATGGTGTTGTTGTGGTGGTGTTGTGGTGATGTTGTTGTTGTGGTGGTGTTGTGGTGATGGTGTTGTTGTGGTGGTGTTGTGGTGATGGTGTTGTTGTGGTGGTGTTGTGGTGATGGTGTTGTTGTGGTGGTTATGGTGATGTTGATGGTGATGGTGTTGTTGTGGTGGTGTTGTGGTTATGGTGTTGTTGTGGTGATGGTGTTGTTGTGGTGGTGTTGTGATGATGGTGGTGTTGTGCTTGTGATGGTGATAGTCAACCGGCTATTGTGGTGATGATGATGGTGGTGGTGGTGTTGTTGTGGTGGTATTGTGGTGGTGATGATGATGATGGTGGTGGTACTGTAAACGCTAAGGCGGTATTGGGTGCACCATATCGAACTACAGGTGAACCTAGCCTGGCACGAGCTGTGTCTCTCTCTCTGTGTCTCTCTCTCTCTGTGTCTCTCGGTGTCTCTCTCTGTCTTTCTGTGTCTGTGTCTCTCTCTCTGTCTCTATCTGTGTGTCTCTCTCTGTCTCTCTCTGTGTCTCTCTCTGTGTCTCTCTGTGTCTCTATCTATCTGTGTCTCTCTCTGTCTCTCTGTGTCTATCTGTGTCTCTCTCTGTCTCTCTCTGTCTATCTGTGTCTCTCTCTGTCTCTCTCTGTGTCTCTCTGACTATCTGTGTCTATGTGTGTCTCTCTCTGTCTATCTGTGTCTCTCTCTGTGTCTCCCTGTGTCTCTCTGTGTCTTTCTCTGTCTATCTGTGTGTCTCTCTGTGTCTGTGTGTCTCTCTGTCTATCTGCTTCTCTCTCTCTCTGTCTCTCTATCTCTCTGTGTGTTTCTCTGTGTCTCTCTCTCTGTATCTCTGTGTCTCTGTCTGTCTCTCTGTGTCTTTCTGTGTCTTTCTGTCTCTAAGTGTCTGTCTCTCTCTGTCTCTTTGTGTCTCTGTGTGTCTCTGTGTGTGTCTCTCTCTGTCTCTCTCTCTGTCTGTGTCTCTCTGTGTGTCTCTGTGTGTCTCTGTCTCTCTGTGTGTCTCTGTCTCTCTGTGTGTCTCTCTGTCTGTCTCTCTCTCTTTGTCTCTCTGTGTCTCTCTGTGTGTCTCTGTCTCTCTGTGTGTTTCTGTGTCTGTGTGTCTGTGTCTCTCTCTTTGTCTCTCTGTGTCTCTCTGTGTCTCTCTGTCTCTCTCTCTCTCTGTCTCTCTCTCTCTGTCTCTCTCTCTTTCTCTGTGTCTCTCTCTGTCTCTGTGTCTCTCTGTGTCTCTCTCTCTCTGTGTCTGTGTGTGTGTCTCTCCGTCTCTCTCCGCCTCTCTCTGTGTCTCTCTCCGCAGGTGTGTCCCTCTCCGCAGGTGTGTCCAAGGTGTTCCCGTTGAGCTTAACCGGGTTGACAGGTGAGTTTCGGTCGACTCGCCATGGCTGCAGTGGCGAGGGAGAGGGGAAAGAGAGAGCGGGGAGAGAGAGAGGGAGGGGAGAGAGACGAATGAGAGAGAGGGGAGAGAGGGATTTGTGGCACACCTGTATGGCAGGTAAGCGTGTGACGTCACACCGGTAAGCCACCTACCGTAATGCGTCTAACATAGACGCATTTGAAGCCACCTACCGTAATGCGTCTAACATAGACGCATTGGAAGCCACCCACCGTAATGTCCCTAACATAGACGCATTTGAAGCCACCCACCGTAATGTCCCTAACATAGACGCATTTGAAGCCACCCACCGTAATGCCTCTAACATAGACGCATTTGAAGCCACCTACCGTAATGTCTCTAACATAGACGCATTCGAAGCCCCCTACCGTAATGCGTCTAAGATAGACGCATTTGAAGCCACCCACCGTAATGTCCCTAACATAGACGCATTTGAAGCCACCTACCGTAATTTCTCTAACATAGACGCATTTCAAGCCACCCACCGTAATATCCCTAACATAGACGCATTTGAAGCCACCTACCGTAATGCGTCTAACATAGACGCATTTGAAGCCCCCTACCGTAATGTGTCTAACATAGACGCATTTGAAGCCACCTACCGTAATGTGTCTAACATAGACGCATTTGAAGCCACCTACCGTAATGTGTCTAACATAGACGCATTTGAAGCCACCTACCGTAATGTGTCTAACATCGACGCATTTGAAGCCCCCTACCGTAACGTGTCTAACGTAGACGCATTTGAAGCCACCTACCGTAATGTGTCCAACGTAGACGCATATGAAGCCACGTACCGTAATGTCTCTAACATAGACGCATTCGAAGCCACCCACCGTAATGTCCCTAAGATAGACGCATTTAAAGCCACCTACCGTAATGTCCCTAACATAGACGCATTTGAAGCCCCCCTATCGTAATGTCCCTAACATAGACGCATTTAAATCCACCTACCGTAATGTCTCTAACATAGACGCATTTGAAGCCACCCACCGTAATGCGTCTAACATAGACGCATTCGATGCCCCTTACCGTAATGCGTCTAACATAAACGAATTTGAAGCCCCCTACCGTAATGTGTCTAACATAGACGAATTTGAAGCCACCTACCGTAATGTCCCTAACATGGACGCATTTGAAGCCCCCTACCGTAATGCTTCTAACACAGACGCATTTCAAGCCCCCTACCTTAATGTGTCTAACATAGACGCATTTGAAGCCACCCACCGTAATGTGTCTAACATAGACGCATTTGAAGCCACCTACCGTAATGTCTCTAACATAGACGCATGTGAAGCCACCTACCGTAATGTCCCTAACATAGACGCATTTGAAACCCCCTACCGTAATGTCCCTAACATAGACGCATTTGAAGCCACCTACCGTAATGTCTTTAACATAGACGCATTTGAAGCCCCCTACCGTAATGTGTCTAACACAGACGCATTTGAAGCCACCTACCGTAATGTCTCTAACATAGACGTATTTGAAACCACCTACCGTAATGTGGCTAACATAGACGCATTTGAAGCCCCCTACCGTAATGTCCCTAACATAGACGCATTTGAAACCACCTACCGTAATGTAGCTAACATAGACGCATTTGAAGCCACCTACCGTAATGTTCATAGACTCAACACTGCACCATAGACTCAACACGACCCATAGACTCAACACTGCCCATAGACTCAACACTGCACCATAGACTCAACACTGCACCATAGACTCAACACTGCCCATAGACTCAACACTACACCATAGACTCAACACTGCCCATAGACTCAACACTGCACCATAGACTCAGCACTGCACCATAGACTCAACACTGCCCATAGACTCAACACTGCACCATAGACTCAACACTGCCCATAGACTCAACACTGCACCATAGACTCAACACTGCCCATAGACTCAACACTGCACCATAGACTCAACACTGCACCATAGACTCAACACTGCCCATAGACTCCACACTGCACCATAGACTCAACACTGCCCATAGACTCAACACTGCACCATAGACTCGACACTGCCCATAGACTCAGCACTGCCCCATAGACTCAACACTGCACCATAGACTCAACACTACCTATAGACTCAACACTGCCCATAGACTCAACACTGCACCACAGACTCAACACTGCACCATAGACTCAACACTGCACCATAGACTCAACACTGCCCATAGACTCAACACTGCCCAGAGACTCAACACTGCCCCATAGACTCAACACTGCCCGTAGACTCAACACTGCCCATAGACTCAACACTGCCCATAGACTCAACACTACACCATAGACTCAACACTGCCCATAGACTCAGCACTGCCCCATAGACTCAACACAGCACCATAGACTCAGCACTGCACCATAGACTCAACACTGCCCATAGACTCAACACTGCACCATAGACTCAACAATGCCCATAGACTCAACACTGCCCGTAGACTCAACACTGCCCATAGACTCAACACTGCCCATAGACTCAACACTACACCATAGACTCAACACTGCCCATAGACTCAGCACTGCCCCATAGACTCAACACAGCACCATAGACTCAACACTGCACCATAGACTCAACACTGCCCATAGACTCAACACTGCCCCATAGACTCGACACTGCCCATAGACTCAACACTACCCATAGACTAAACACTGCCCATAGACTCAAAACTGGGCCATAGACTCAACACTGCACCATAGACTCAACACTGCACCATAGACTCAGCACTACACCATAGACTCAACACTGCCCATATACTCAACACTGCACCATAGACTCAACACTGCCCATAGACTCAACACTGCACCATAGACACAACACTGCCCATAGACTCAACACTACACCATAGACTCAACACTGCCCATAGACTCAGCACTGCCCCATAGACTCAACACTGCCCATAGACTCAACACTGCACCATAGACACAACACTGCCCATAGACTCAACACTACACCATAGACTCAACACTGCCCATAGACTCAACACTGCACCATAGACTCAACACTGCCCATAGACTCAACACTGCACCATAGACTCAACAAATCCCATAGACCAAACACTGCCCATAGACTCAACACTGCCCATAGACTCAACACTGCACCATAGACTCAACACTGCACCACAGACTCAACACTGCCCATAGACTCAACACTGCACCATAGACTCAGCACTACACCATAGACTCAACACTGCCCATATACTCAACACTGCACCATAGACTCAACACTGCCCATAGACTCAACACTACACCATAGACTCAACACTGCCCATAGACTCAACACTGCCCATAGACTCAACACTGCACCACAGACTCAACACTGCCGCTAGAGGGAGACAGAGGTCCGTGTTGTGAGCGGAATCAGTCCACGAGGGATCAACACTACTCACACCCACTAACTCACCTACCCACTCACCCACACACCCAGTCACTCACCTACCCACTCACCCACACACCCACTCACTCACCTACCCACTCACCCACACACCCACTCACCTACCCACTCACCCACACACCCACTAACTCACCTACCCACTCACCCACACACCCAGTCACTCACCTACCCACTCACCCACACACCCACTCACTCACCTACCCACTCACCCACACACCCACTAACTCACCTACCC